CCCGATACTCAACAGGCCCCCCCCCCCCATGATGAGCTCCAAAATAACCTTCTACTCAGCGCCTTCCGTCTCCAACGCACCACCCAGCACTCGCCGGCCTTCGTCTCCAACACAATTCCCGATACTCAACAGGCCCCCTCCCCATTAGGATCTTGAAGCTGACCTGCTACTCGCCTCCCTCCGTCTCCAACGCGCCATCCAGTACTCAACAGCCTTCGTCTCCAGCACAGTTCCCGATACTCAACAGGCTCCTTCCCCAAGATGAACTTGAAAATGACCTGCTACCCAACCCCCTCCGCCCCCGACACGCCATCCAGTACTCAGCAGCTTTCGTCTCCAACACAACACCCGATACTCAACTGGTCCCTCCCCAAGATGAAGTTGAAAATGACCAGCTACTCAACTCTCTCCGTCTCCAACGCGCCATCCAGCAGCTTTCGCCCCCAACACAATTCCAGATACTCGACAGGCCCCCTCCCCAAGATGAACTTGAAAATAACCTTCTACTCAACTCCCTCCGTCTCCAACGCACCGCCCAGTACTCGACGGCCTTCGTCTCCAACACATTTCCCGATGCTCAACGGGCTCCCTCCTCAAGGTGAACTTGAAACTAACCATCTACTCAACCCCCTCCGCCCCCAACGCACCGCCAAGTACTCAGCGGCCTTCGTCTCCAACGCAGCCCCCGATACTCAACGGCCCCCCCCCATTATGAACTTGAAATGACATTCTTCTCAACTCCCTTCGCCCCCAACACGCCGCGCAGCACTCAAACACAACGCCCGATACTCCACGGGCCCCCTCCCCAAGGTGAACTTGAAATCGACCTTCTACTCAACTCCCTCCGTCTCCAACGCACCATCCAGTAGTCAACGGCCTTCGTCTCCAACGCAATTCCCGATGCTCAACGGGCTCATCCCCATATGAACTTGACAGCAAGCTTCTACTCAACTCCCTCCGCCCCCAACACACCTACCGGCATTCAACGGCCTTCGTCTCCAACACAACACCCGGTGCCCAACGGGCCCCCTCCCCAATCAGAACTCGAGAGAACATTGCACTCAACCTCCTCCGCTTCCAACGCACCACCCCGCACTCCACGGTCTTAAATGGGCCGATGGGCATTAATAGTATCATAATCGTAGGAATGCAAACCCAACCGCAATTTTGACCAGGACTGGTTCTGGTCACAGTTCTGGTTCGGGTCGGTTCGCATTAATGTTATCATAATGATACGAATGCAATTCCAACCACAATTGCGACTAGGACTGGTCCTGGCCACGTTTCTGGTTCGGGGCAATTGGCATTGATAATATTATAAAAATATTTTCTGCAACCCGAACCACAACTGTGACCAGGACTGGTCCTGGTCACGGTTCTTTTTCGGGTCGATTCGCAGTGATATCATCATAATAACATTAATGCAACCCCAACCACAATTGAGACCAAGACTGGTCCTGGTCACGGTTCTGTTTCGGGTCGATGGGCATTAAAAATACTGCAATAATATTACTGCAGCCCCCACCACAAATTGTGACCAGGACTGGTCCTGGTCACGCTTCTGGTTCGGGTCGATGGGCATTACTACAATAATAATGGTATTAATGCAATTCCATCCACAACTGTGACCAAGACTGGTCCGGGTCACGGTTCTGGTTCGGGCCGATTTGCATTTTATATTTTTTTTAAAATATTAATGCAACCCGAACCACCACTGTGACCAGGACTGGTCCTGGTCACGGTTCTGGTTCGGGTCGATTCACATTAATATTTTCATTATAGTGTTAATGCAACCCCAACCACTACTGTGACCAGGACTGGTCCTGGCCACGGTTCTGGTTCGGGTCGATGGGCATTAATAGTCTAATAGTAATAATGTAACCCCAACCACAACTGTGACCAAGATTGGTCCTGGTCACGGTTCTGGTTCGGGTCGATGGGCATTAATAATATTATAATAACATTAATGCAACCCCAACCACAACTGTGACCAGGACCGGTCCTGGTCACGGTTATGGTTCGGGTCGATGGGCACTAATATTATTACAATAATATTAATGCAACCCCAACCACCACTGTGATCAGGACTGGTCCTGGTCACGGTTCTTGCCCGGGTCGATGGGCACTAATACTATAATAATAATAGTATTGCGACCCGAACCACAATTGTGACCAGGACTGGTCCTGGTCACGGTTCTGGTTCGGGTCGATGGGCATTACTACAATAATAATGGTATTAATGCAATTCTATCCACTTGTGACCAGGACTCGTCCTGGTCACGGGTCTGGTTCGGGTCGATTGGCATTTTATATTATTTTAATAATATTAATGCAACCCGAACCACCACTGTGACCAGGACAAGTCCTGGTCACGCTTCTGGTTCGGGTCGATGGGCATTAATATCATAATACTAAACAAGAATAATGCAACCCCAACCACAATTGTGACCAGGACTGGTCCTGGTCACGGTTCTGGTTCGGGTCGATTCGCATTAATAAT